TCGCCTCGCCTCGCCTCGCCTCGCCTCGCCTCGCCTCGCCTCGCCTCTCTCCTGCTCTCCTCTCCTCTCCTCTCTCCTGCTCTCCTCTCCTCTTCTCTCCTGTCTTCTCTCTTTCTTTCCTTCTTTCCTTTTTTTTTAAAAAAAAAAAAACCAGGGTCTCTCTATACAGCTCTAGTTGTCCTGGAACTCACTCACTATGTAGACCAGGCTGGCTTCAAACTTTCAGAGATCTACCTGCCTCTGGGATCCACCAAGTGCTGGGAATCAAAGGCATGTGTCACTATACCCAGCTGAGATATGGAAGTATTCTAAATTATGTGAAAAAAAAAAAGGATGTCACATAAAACTTCTAAGTATTTTAATATGAGAAATGCCTTCTATTGACTTTCTGGCACACACGGCATCTCCTTGTGTCTTTGGGACAACTTTGACCTGTTGATTCAGTCTAGGGTGATACTAAAGCTTAGCTTTGGCCAAGGTGAAGGGCAGGCTTAAAAATGAGCAAGGGGGTAGTTCTAAGCTGATCATTCGAACGGCAGAGTGTTTCACTGGGTTTTGCCAGGGAGGCGGAGCTCTTGCTAGTTGTATGTATCAGGGTAATGATTCCAGAATTAGGAACTGTCATAGTACACATCCACAGACATTATACCCCTCATAGAGTGTCTCCCTCTGTCCAGTTGAGAACCCTGAGAGAAGCGTAAGATCAGGTGTCTCCTATTCTCAGGGGAAGAGGGAAAAACTACTCTGTTTAAATAGTGACTAATTCTTAAGAGCCTCATGGTAGAAAAACAAGATTTCTCCTGTCCAAATGAGTGAAGGGGAACCAGAAGGATGTGTGAATACAGCTGCTTGTTACACGAGGTGACTGAGACCAGTTGGACCCAGAAAACTCAAGTTTTAAGATGAGGATGTAGGTCATAAGCTACCCTCCCTTGCTCCCTTTGTGGGAAAAAAATCTCTCCAGTGAAGTGAAAAAACTTTTGGTTCCTGGATAAAACAGAAAATGAAAAGACTCATACTAAGTCTCACTTACTAATCATATAAAATAAAATCAACCAAAAACAAACAAACAAAGAAAAAAACACTCATTATTCCAAACAGCAAGGAAATGAACAGTTTAGCCAGCCTTTCCTCATTTTAGGGAATTTTTGATAGTAATTAATTTAAGGGTGCAGACAAATGCAGAACTGTCTGTTAGGAACACAGGGGAAACAGAAAAGAAACAGAGAAGCCTGAGCCTGCTTTTGTGGAGTTTGTAGTTAATTTATTTTCAAAACAAGTGCATGGGAATATATGCTTAGTTACTAGTATCTATTATTAATAGTCATCATCCCCACTTAAAACAGGGCAAAAAAGGCTCACACAGGCAGATTTTGTAATACCCATTAGCTCAGCCCACAGGGTATGCTCTGATGGGGATTTAAAGGCGTCTTTACTGAATCTCAGAGTCTCTACTCCAGAAGTTTGTTAGTAGATACGGTTCATTATGTGTGTTCTCTTTCCAGAAGAGAATGGAAGACACACCCAGGGTACTACGCATGCACTTGTTCCTGTGTCCATAATCTTATACTTACCAAAGCATCATGTAGAAAAGGAAGCCAGGGGCATGCAACATCTTAGATAACAGGCTCCTTAGAACGTAATCCTGGAAATAAGCCTAATTGATGTATAATTTTGAATTTCAGACATCTCATCCAGGTGGAAGGAGAAACTCATAAATACAAGATACCTGCAAAGAATAGTCTTAATTACACCATGGGCTACTGAATAAAATGATTACATTTTCTACACTGTAAATTTCGTACAATTAAGTGTAGTGGTGTCACCTTATAAAGTGTTTCAATTTAATAATTATTTCAGTTCATTTGCTCAGAAAAAAACATAAGCACAAATTTACAAAGTATCCCCCAAATCTAGTCATTCTGCTTCTAAAGGAGTGACGTGGATGTTAGTTGTGCTTGTCTGAGCTTAAATAGATCTTGACATATTTAAGGAGCTGTTAAAATTGATAACATCAGGGATGATAGCCCCGCTAGAGAAAGGCATTCATTCACACTTTATTTATTCGCATTCTACATTACAGACATGTATTTATAAAGAACTTAATGCTGGGGGAGGGAAACTAGTTTTTATGCTTTTGGTCCCAGAACCTTCAGTGGTTAGTTGATGTTTTGGTGCTAAGAGTCAATCTGTGGATGCACACAGATGCACCGAGGTGCTGTTTTGGGGCCAGGGTCATCTGATCTTATTTTCTTTCTATGTTGTTCTAGAAGAGAAATAGGTGAGCTTGTTGTTTGTCTGTCATTCTCTGTAAGAAGTACTCTTGTGACACTTTTATTAATGGCTGCCAAGGAAGCAAGAGAGTGTTTCTAAAATTAAAAAAAAAACAAAAACAAAACAAAAAAAACCAGGAGCTACAATTGGCAACTGCGGAGGCCTGTGGTTCCATTCTTCCCATGTGGGAATGGACTGAGACAGAAAGCTCACTACATGAGACTGACCCCAGGTACACATGCGGAATGTCTTGGCTTTGTTATCATTTCCACTATAATTAAACATGAGCCTTTCTAATGAGACACATTCTCCTTCTTAATTAGCCAATCCCCAGCAGAATGCTTAGCACCTCGAAGCTGCCTTAATTCTTCTGTGTTATTAGAGTATCATCACTTAGCACATTCCAGCTTTAAAGTACCCTAGGGGCATAGAAAGGACTTGAGACAACCCTCAGAAGGATTTGCCAAGGCTTCTTGCTCACAGCCAAATACAGCTGTGGCAGTTTGGCCTGCAGGTCTTGGATCATCTCCTACTGCCTTGATTCCAGGTTTAGGAGTCAGGGCGGACGTTCTGACAGCAGTAATTAGAGAGGATGCCAGGGGTGCCAGGTGGCTCAATAGAGAGGATTTCCTGTGCAAGAAACTTGTTGCAAAGGTGCTAAGAGAGTTGAAAAGGTCAGTGCAGCAAACAGTGGAGTGATCTAGAAATTCACACCGTGAGAAGCCTCTACCTACCCTGTACACTTTAGACCAGCACTGTACTGAGCTCACAGACACCTAGCAACTAACCAGTACTAGACAATACCTGATTTTATTCAGAACCATGGGGAAGAGAGAGGGAGAGAGAGAGAGAGAGAGAGAGAGAGACAGAGACAGAGAGACAGAGAGACAGAGAGAGAGAGAGAGAGAGAGAGAGAGAGGAAGTTAAAAGAAAAGAAATTAAGAGAAGTTAAGAGGAGTGACAGACAGAAGTAGAGAGGTAGTAGGGACAGAGCAAACACCCATGGTAACAGGCAGAGCTGGACTAACGCAGCAAAAAGACCCTGGTTTTCCTTCCTTCTCACCCACCCTCCTAGGTTCCTATGGATGCCTCCCATTGGCTGAAGCTAGCCAGTAGTCATGGGAATAACCTGACCACCTACACTGCCAGCCTTGTGAATAAGAATTCTCCAAATGCTCATACCTGGCAGAAAGTAAGCAGAAGCATGGGTGGGCATAGCCACGTCTACTTCAAAGCTCCAGAAGGTCCTGAGTTTGTGTAACAACTACCCCACTTGCTGAGGTTCCTAGATCATGGCATTTTAAATTCTCTGAGCCCAGGGACTACATCTATAATCCAAGGTCTTCCTAAGGGCTACCTAAGACTCATATGAACCACAGAGGGCTGTGAATTGGCTTTAGGTGAGATGTGGACACATGGAACAGTGGCATTCAAAGTATAGATGCTGGATCTAGAAAGAATCAGGACTCTACCACCACACAGGGCTATCTGTGATACTCTCTCAGTGTTGTTCCTCTTCAGCTTAGTCTCATTCACTGATGGATCCAGGAGAGATGGCAAGCTGTGTGTGTTTGAGCAAGAGGTTCATTTAGAGGGAAGGTGTTTCAAGCAAAGAATCTAAGGTTTTGAGCATAAGTTGGGTGAAGCTACCACCAGGAGAGAGCAAACCGCATGCAAAGGTCTCGAGCTAGGTCCAGTTCAAATACTAGGATTCAAACACCGTGCCGACAGCACAGTGAATAAGGAGTGTGACAAGGCCATAAGTGAGAGAACCAGGCAGGAGACTGGCAGTAAGACTGATAACTGCATTGAGGAGTAGGAAAGGCATGATTTCTAGCAATGATCCTCCTAGGGCCTTCATCAAGGTGCTGCCATCCACAAAAACAAACTAGGAAGGAACAGGTTATGTCATAGAGTAGAGGGAGATACAAAATAGGACCTGAAATTAGTAAGCAGTATGTTCAAGAGACACTGCATATGACCTAACCATAGGCAGCTAGATACATGGTATGCTATTCTTTTTGACTGGCCAAAAGAGGTGACATTAATCAAGAGCTAGAACTCTGATATCATTTTTATTAAATACTACAGCACACAAAGGCACAAGGGAAGAAAAGACATACTCAATTTGGAGAATGGGAAGACCTTGACTCTTCAAACAGTTGTAAAATTTCTTCTGAACCTTTACATTACTTTTGTGCAAACAAAACGGCCATATGCAAAAGAGTTCAACCTGTTGGTGTAGTATTTTTTAATATGCCTTTTAGGAAAGCACAGTGTACACTTGAAAGTTCAGGAAAATCTGTTTGCAATTCATTAATGTTCCCATGGTTTTCTTGGGCAAGAGACTCTGTCTTTTATAACCAAATAAATGGGACAGACTTAGAAACAGGGGTGTGGGAGGCGGGTCTATTCTCATGTGTAAAATAGAAGATGGAAGGAAACAAATGCCAATTCAGCCAAAGAATTAGGCCCAAACTCTGGGTAAGTAAAACCCATGGTGTGCACCAGAAGCAGAGGCTTCCAGAGTTTGTCAGCTGCAGATGCAATTGAACCAAAAGATTATATGCCCTCCTGAAATCACAAAGCCATTTTACAAGCAGGCTTTTCATACTCCAACTTTAAACATTACAGTCACCTTGATTTCTGCCCTACTCACATCCAACCCAAACTTTAAGCTTGATGTATAAAGGATACAACTCAATTGGGTAATTTTTGTAAGATCACAACCCTAAGTAAGTCTCATGAGGCTCCAGTCTGAGAAATTGTGTCTAGGATGTGCTTGGAGTATTTTCTACTGAGAATAACTTCTCTACCTTGATCTGATAAAGGCTGAGTTGGCATGGGTGAAATCTGATGAAGTTGTGTGCTACACATCCTTGACTTTTGACATGCACTCTTCGGGAAAGGCCTATAGAGTCTCTCAACTATTATGAACTCACTCCTGAATTTTTGTGGGTGGCTTGTGGTTACTTATGAGAGATGACTGAGTTGGCCATATGCTAGAAGCTGGTGTTAAGGGAATAAAAATATAGCCAGCCTGGCAGGGAAATGAGTATGAATGCTACAGAGGTATTAGGGAGAGGGCTGCCTGTACTATAAATGTGGGGGCATGGTAATTTCATCATAAAAGTCATTTGTGTGTGTGTGTGTATGTATGTATACATGCATACATGCTAAAAATCACCACCTTTCTGAAAAGAAAAAAAAAGGGGAGAGTAGGAGAAGGAAGGTAGAAGATTGCTATGCACCCTCACTCAGAATTCATGTTAGAACTTTGAACAGTGCGTAGCAGCATTCTTTAAAATATTTGCTCCTTTTTAAAAGAGCCTATTTCCAAGGTTTCCCTGCCTTTAAGAGTATCCAGTTTTTGAACAATTAGAGAACAAAACTGTGCTTGGTAGTTGGATCACTTGGAAAAATCTTGCCAAGCAAGCATGAGGACCTGAGTTTGGGTTATCAGCACTGACATAAAACGGAAAAACCAGGTTTAGGAGCATGTGACTGTATTCAAGGCCGGCCTTGAGTTTCTGATCCTCCGGCCTCAGCTTGTCTAGGGCTGAGGGAAGTCTGTTCTGTATGTCTATGCAGCTGTCATATACTATAGTCAGGAAACCATGAAATTATTAGCATGCTTATTGAAAACAATGGATTCTTATGAAACCCAAACTTTGTAGACTGGTAAATCCATCTGGTGGAGAAATTTCTCTCAACTCATGCTAGAAGGTGACATTTAACCATCGACAATCTTCAGATCTCTTATTAATTGGATTGTATAAACTACTACCTGTTCTTTAACCAAAAAAATAAAAAAACAAAAAACAAAAAATATATACTTTTTGAAACTTCTAAAACACACAAAAGACATAATTTTAACAAGAGAACTGTCACTAGTTCTAACTAACTCTCTTTATGGAGCAAAAATATATAATAATCTATAACCCATTACAGCTGTTTGGCTAGAATTACCAATTACCTTCAATACCTCAGAGACACTTTCCAGGTTTTTTGTTTTTTGTTTTTTTTTTAACAAGTCTGCACAGTAAATTTTTAACCCAGTTTTCTTAAAGGCAACTGATAAGATTGAAACCTCTTACGGAAGAGATGATGAGCTTCTCCACGTAACTTGAATACAAAATCAAGGCTTTCCATGGCTACAGCAAGATGGTGACAAGAATTAAAAATAAAACACAACCCAAAAAGCTATGGTTATTTTAAACAACATTTCAATAAAGTTTGGAACTATGCTTTTTGCTCCCGTTTGAGTATGGGTGTTGAGGACTTATGGGAGACCACATCGAACATGTATTGAAGACAGATGACAAGTTGCAGAACATCTGTAGTCTCTCCTTGTCCCAGCGCTAATGGCTTCTGCTCTAATGCACATAGGAAAGGCCTGTTGTCATTCAGAGAGTTGCAAAGACTAGTAGCTCATCCAGTGCCTTCCCAGCACCCTCAGGCCAATGAAATCAAGAGGTTTAGGGTAAAAATGACAGCACTCTTGAAGAAACTTGATTAGGCAGAATGGATAGGGAATGTTCCACAAGTTAATAACACACTTTCTTAAATAGTAAGCAATGGGATGGAGGTGGAGAAGCTGGGCAGTCAAGCCATCGGCACCAGCTTGCGTGACTTGGGAGGCAGCAGCTCAGTGGGCAAAGTACTTTCTGTGCAAGTGAAAAGACCTGAGTTCAATTCCCAGGGCCCAAGCAAAAATAATTCACGCATGATACTGTGTTATATATGTAACCCTAGACCTGGCAAAGGTCAGGAAAATGTGGATCCCAGAGGCTTACTAGCCCACCAAAATAGCAATCTCAAGGTTCAGTTAGAGATGCCAGGTCAGAAAATAAGGTGGAGAAACAACTGAGGAAGATACCCCAGTGTCAGCCTCTGGCTTCCATTAGAGCCTGCACAGGTAAGCACACATGCATAAAAATAATACAGGGACTTTTCAGTTCCAGAACACATCTCCACATCTGTCTACATCTGACCGACACTCCCATGTGTGTTAATACTACTTTTCTTCCGTCTTTATTATAGTTTGGGTCCTGTGTCACAGTAAATGTATGGTGTGCACAAACACACAGATGTGTATATATGTGCATGTCTATGGATGCAGGTGCTGGGATGAAACTCAGATCCTCACGCTTATGCAGCAGCCACTTCATCAACTGAGCTGTCCCTCCATCTTGTCCATTGTACATCTTATCAGTGTTCCTAGGTGTGGAGTGACACCTGAACAGTTTAATGTGTATACGTAACATACAATCGCAATGGTCATATGAGGGCAATCAGCAGTGCTGTCTCCACCAATGTAATTTACATTTGTTATGTATGCGATTCGCACATCCTGATTTTCTCTCTTTCTTTAAACAGAGGAGTGTGCCTCCTTAATCCTTACCTGTCTCTTCTGCCAATTCTTGGACTGCCTCTTCATGCTCCCTGACACGTGTGAGACAGTGTGCATCAACCTGTGCTGCCCCTCCCACAGGTACTACTCTGCCTCTGATGAGAACCATCCACACAATGACTGCAACTTGACCTGTGACGTGGACTGTAGCCTCTTTGAATCTTGCCATGAGACCAGTGAGTGCCTGGAGCTGGCCATGGAGATATCAGAAATCTGTTACCGCTAGTGCAAGACGGGATGAGCACTCGGGCGCTCCTTAGAGTGCATCTGAGATAAAAGCTCCCTGTGCCCAAATGCAAGGACAATACATGTTTCATGGAGGCTCCAGACCATTTTATGTTGCACCTGTCTTGGAAGGCTACTACCGTCAACTCAGTGCTCTTGTTCCAACTTTTACAACTGCATGGCTCACTGCAAAATAATTCTTAATCACATGTGTGATGAACAAATCTCAAATACCTCTTAAATGCCATAGGTAGATGTTTCTTGACTGTTAAACAGCATGCTAAACCATTCTGTGCTCTTAACTTGATAGCCTGCATTGTGGCTTCAACTTCCTTCATGAATTCCGGACAAATTATGCTTTCTTATAGGCTCAACACACATTAGTTCTCTTTCTGATGGACTCATGCATAAACATTATGCATTATTGGTTATTATTAATAATGTATTGTGTAACATCATTTTGTAATTAAAAATTTATTTATACAGTCTCTTAAAATTCACTTATATGTACAGTTTAGGTAGGCAAGGGAATTAAACGAATCAGAAACCATGTTCATATAATTAAAGCAGATGTCTTTGAAACCTCTCCAATGAATCTTGAATCTGGTAGACTTCAGGAGAGCCCTATAATTCTAGACCATATCATTATATGTCTGTTGCTGCATTCTAAGTAGTCATGCATATTCTTAATTGGTTACATAAAGATTCTTCTTTATTACAATAGGCAAAAATGGGAGCCGTGTGCATGTTTCGAGAATTTGATCTACGATAATCACATCTTTGCCTTCCTCACTTCTGTTTGTCAGGTACAATAAGCAACAGGATATTAAAAAGGAATCAGTTCACTTCGCCAAACTATTACATACGCAGGCACCTAAAATAAATACACATGCAGGGACTTGCTCAACTCACTTCCCAAAACGGCATGCATACTTTGGAAACCATAATTCATCGTTTTATTTTTCTGCTAATAAAGTAACTGACAATTACATTGAAAACTTCTTTCCACTTACACTGCTGCAAAAGGTGTGATGTATGCTACAAAGTTACTTTTATATCAAGCAAATCAAAACACACACCTAGCAGAAAGGAACATCAAGGTTGCTGTAATGTGGGGATCTCTACATTTAGTAGGTGGGAAGTATCAAGGGAAATGCTGTATACAGGCATGCATGTATGTATTCCTGTGTATGGGACACAAAGTGTTTCATATGAACTACAAAGCACAAATACCAATCAAGCAGAGCAGACAGCTGAAAGTAGGGTTGAGAGATACTTACATGGGCTGAAAGAATAACCACTGTAGCAGTCCCCCAAATAATTGTTTGGGTTTTGCACTGTTGTATTCTCCTGCTTTGGGGTAATGTTAGACAAAAGCAATGTTTGTTTGTATAGTAACCTAGCATATTTTTTTCTAATTTGTAATAAAATTTCCAACATTGAACACAATTGATCTTAAAAATGACTGCTGGTACCTACCTGTAGTCTCAGCACATGGGAAACCCTATTAGCAGTATCAGCAGTTCAAGGTCTCATCAGATGCGTAGCAAGTTAGAGACCAACTTGAGCTATGGTAGATGTGTTATTACGATTATAAAAACAAAATGAAGCCCTGAGAATCTGTGGCTCCAAGATGACATGTTGAGTTCATGACAGTTTCAAGATCCTGACTCAGGGTCTAACTGCTTTCTTACCCAGTAGCCCTTTGCTTTTTATCATCACAAACACAAAAACACAACCATCCTCATGACACATAGTGGCAACCCTGAAGTCCCTATGCTTCCATCCCACTCCATCACTCTGGCTCTTCTCCAAGCACCCATCTCTTGACTCACATTCTAGCCACTAAAGAAAGACCCAGAAATCCCACCCCAAAGTACATAGATACCTCCTCTCATCATTCTATCTGTTACATTCATGTTGAATGTCTTACCAATGTTTCTTAACAATATGCCCTCAATTTATGTAAAGATTATACACTTCAAATATGAATCGAATGCTTATTGTTTAGAGGCATAAAAATCAGTAGTTCCTGTTTGACAGTATTTTCAGAATTGTCTAAAATCCTCCCATGGCCTTGCTTTCCACAGCTTGTTAATTTGTTTCTCACTCTGAGAATTCATCATGCTCTACCAGAAAGGGTCGGTTATACAAAGTGTGAAATTTCTTTTCTTTATAGCCAATAATAAAATATCATCCTCTTTGCAAACATGAATGGTGTTTTCAATTGAATTCCTACACAATAAAACATGTACACCTGGGAAAACACAATTGCGGCGGTAAGCCAGATCAAAGCTGAACATAGTTATTGATTAAACACAAATATCAGGATCTGAGAAGGCCTGGGTATTCTACAGCAATGATGAAGGCTTGTGATTACAAATTGAGATAACGCTGTACTTCAAGGTATGCCTTCTTAGGGAATGGAACATTCTGATTTAAGGACACACACTAGAATCAAAGAGATTACTGAACATGCAGGCTTTGCAAAGGATGCAGAAAAAGAGATGCCCCCCACTCAGTCCCATAACCATATAGTTACATTGTCTTTGCTTTGCTCCATGAATTTTTATAAAACCATTGCTCTGCTAAGAGCCACCGAAATATGGAAAGCAGTGAAGAAAAGAAGTCACATTTAACCTGCTAATGAAATCGTCCCACTACATGAGCTAAGAGGCCTACAAAATTAATTTTCAATGCTGGACAATCAAAGTTAATAGAGTGAAAGGTACTTCATGGGTTTGGGTTTTTTTTTTCAAGATGATCAGAAAAACATATCCAGGCAGGAAAACTTTACCAACAGAAAGCCTCAAGATCACTTAGACTTGCTTTTAAGAATAAACACACAGGTGAAAGGTGTTTGAAGAAGAGATTTTTACCACTCAAAGTGGGTTATGTATCCCTGCACAGAGTGCAGAGAGAGAATAGTGTGTCCTATGACAGCTTCTCTCACTATGATACATACGCAAGACAACTGACTTATTAGCATAAGAAAAGCTTGTTGTGGTTCACAGGTTTGTAGGCTTTGTTCCACAGTTGAGCAGTTTTGTTGCTGTGGGGTTGAGGATCCTTCACAGCAGCACAAATCTGTTCAGAGCAAGGCCTGAAATTGGATCCCAGGGGGATTGTGGGTCCTACAGTCTTTCAAGAGCATGCCTCTAATGACCAGGAAGAATTTCACTTGAAACCAATTCCTAAAAGCAGCCACAATAGGGACAGAGACATTCATATCTGGAGCTCTAAGGAGCACATCCCAAGGACAGCACTTAAGGGAATCTTCTCAGGTTCACTGTTAAGTGACCTCAGACTGTGTGGACTGATGGCCTCCAGAAAAACATGCACTCGTGGTGTAAGGATTTGTTGGGCACTTTGTGCAGAATAGATCTGAACACTGGTCTGGCATTTGACACATACAGCTCCAGGTGGACTAGACAGAAGATAAAGGAGGTTGAGAATTGGAGGCAATCTTAGAGATTCTAAAGTACATAAAAATGAAATTTGTACTAGTTACTGTCCCAGAAATAAGTCCAGACAGACCCTTACATTATAAAGAAGGAGCAGAGGAGATAGAGAACAGTAAGAAACTGGAGTAGAATACAGCCTGTGTTATTAGGATGTGAGTAGGACCTTGAGTCTACCAACTCAGTACGCTGCAAGCTTTCACTTTGGGTATTATCTGAGCCTGTGGTTACCAACTGAGAGTGATTTGGCCTCTTCTTCCCATGTGGCAATGGTTAGAAATATAACTTATTGTCATACAATAGAGACAAAGGTTCTAAGACCAGTACATCATGGGTAGAAGCTAGGAACACTGCTGAAGATCAATGATAGTCCTTATTATGCTGGACTGGGGAATGTCTACCACAGGGTCACCAGTTAATGTCATGGGTTTTTTTTTTGGAGGGGGGTGAGTGGGGTTGTGAAACCATTAGGAAGGAAGGCATGGGAGGGCAGGCTTTTGCGAGTTCTAGACTAATCCTACTTGTCAGCTTCCTCACAGATACCGTGAAGTCAGGAACTACAACATATCACCATTACAATGGATTGAGCCCAACACCAAACCTCCTCGCCCATGGTGGACTGAAGTACCATGAGCTAAACTGATCATTTCTTCTCTTATTTATTTTAGGCATATATTTGATATGGCAACTAGAAAAGTAGCTAATACCACCTCCTCACAATAAAGAAATATCCAAACATCAGTGTATAGTTTAAGAAGCCTTGCTCAGGGTTCTTTTGGCCATTAAGGTAATAACCATTCATATCATTCACCTAAAACACTGTTAAACTCATCGTTGCCAGATAAATCACGGGATGGCTTGCTAAATTTTAATTTCAGAACAATAGCAAATATCTTTAAATGAATATGTCCGAACTACTACCTGTAACCTATATATACTACAAAATATGATGGTTCAAAATCCCTTTGCTCTAGGGCAAGACCTATATAGTCACCCTTTTCCAGCTTTCCTCTGGTGTCCAGAAGAAGAAGAAATGGTCATTCTTTGGTCACATCCAAGGTCATTCCCAGAATCATAGTTTATAATTGGTGTAATTAAGAATGGTCAGGGGACTAAAGTTCAAAGATGTTCTGGGTTTTAATTCCTGCACCAAAAGGACCACTATCCTAGAGGGAAGGCACCAAGAGGCAGTCTCTGCTCTTCATCTCAGTCATCAACAAAGAAGGACCATAGCTTAAGGAGTTCATTCAAGCCGTAAGAAACTGGAGTAGTTTGGATGTTATGTATCCTTTAAGGGATCATATGTTAGAGTCGTGCTCCTCAGCGTGACACTCTGGAAGGTGGCAGAATCTAAGAGGTAGCACACAGTGAGAGATCTTGAGTCATTAAGGAAATATCAAAAGGGGAAGTGGGGGAAGGTATCCAGGAGATAGGTCACTCAGTAAAGTGTTTGCTTGTAAGCATGACTTGAGTTTGATCTCAAGAACATATTTCTTTTTTAAAGAACAACTTGGTCATTGTGGGTACATACTTGTAAGCCCAGTGCTCTGGAAGTAGAGACAGGCAGATTCTCTGGCAACTCTACCCAGTGAGATTCAGTCAGTGAGAAGCC